GTAAGGTTTTGGAAGTTATTTGGACCCTTTATGCAGCAAATCAAGCTTGGAATTGGCAAAAATAAAAAATAAAAAAATAAATAAACACGTAAATGCCCCGTTTTGTGTGTCAAAAAATATCTCGACTAAAGTGTCTTTTTTTAACTATTAAATTGAACTGTTAGGTTTTAGGGGTCATTATGATCCTTTAAGGATCTAATTTAAGCTCATTTCACTAGTAGAAAATATCAAAAAGGCACCCCCTAATTGGCACCGGTTCAGTCCAAACCGGTGCCAAAAATAGGCTACATAATTGGTGGGAAGGTAAAAGGCACCGGTTCACTTCAAACCGGTGCCTAAAACATAAAGGCCACCGGTTTGAACCGGTGCCTTTGTGAACCGAACCTTTTAATTATTTAAAAAAAAACCGGCCTTATCTCTCCTTAAAACCCTAAAGCGCACCTTGCTCCTCTCTCTCCTCTCAATCCGCCTCTTTCACTCTCTCCTCTCCATTCTCTCTCCTCTCCTCTCCTCTCCCTTCTCTCTCCTCGATCTCTCTGTCCCATTCACTTCTCTTTCTCTACAACAACAACAACACCACTGCAACAAGAACAACACCACCACCGCAACAACACCACCGCAACAAGAACAACACCACCACCGCAACAAGAACAACACCACCACCGCAACAACAACAACAACACCACCGCAACAACAAGGGTTTCACCACCGTAACAACAACAACAACAACAACATTAAGGGTTTTTTGTATCAATTTTTTTTGCGTTTTTGGGTTTCAACGAGTTTTTTGTTTCAATTTTTTTGCGTTTCTGGGTTTTTGTTTCACTTCTCTTTCAATTTTTTTTGTTTTCTGGGTTTTGTTCGATTAAAATCAGATTGGGTTTCTGGGTTTTTGTTTTTGCGTTTCTGGGTTTTTGCGTTTCTGGGTTTTTGTTTTTGCGTTTTGGTTTTTCAAATTGGGTTTCTGGGTTTTGGTTTTTCAAATTGGGTTTGAATTTTTTTTTCAATTTTTGGGATTAAATTCTGGGTTTTTTTTTCGAAGCTTAATTGTATTAATGTTTTTTTTTTTTAATAATTGGTGCAGATTCATATATGAAATCGAAGAAGCGAGATACTGGTGTTTTTGTTTTTTTTTTTATTAACAATATTGTAATTTTTTTTTTTAAATTTATATCATAATTTTTTTTTGTATTTATATGTTGTAATTTTTTTTTTGTATTTATATGTTGTAATTTTTTTTTATTATTTATTGAAAATTTGCAAATTTTTGATGATATTGATGTTGCAATTTTCGAAGATATTGATGATGTTTTAATCGGTTTGTATTACGTTTTGATGTTGTTATGTATTTTAGACTAATTAATTTTTAAGTGGAAAAAACAAAAAAAAAAAATTATATTTTTTGGCACTTTTGGCACCGGTTAACCGGTGCCAAAAACAACAAAATTATTTTTTTTGGCCATTTTTGGCACCGGTTAACCGATGCCAATTACGAGTTTTGGCACCGGTTCGAACCGGTGCCTTTTAATAACCCTTTTTGGCACCCCCCACATAGGCACCGGTTCAAACCGGTGCCTTAGGCCGGGTTTGAACCGGTGCCAAATTCCTTTTTTCACGTAGTGTTTTTTTGCAAAAAAATTAACGTAAACGACTCGTTTTGCAATTTTTAGGGTTAAAAAAATTACAATCTTAACACGCAAAACTGGGCATTTACACTATTGTTTTTGCCAATACTGAGCTTATTTTGGACCCATAGAGGGCCCAAATGACTGCTAAAACCTTATCTGGACCATTTACACAGTTAAAAAAAACAATATATTTAAATATGACTATTTTTGCCAAATGATTGCCAAAACCTTATCTGGACCATTTACACACAAAACGGAGAATTTATGTTTTTTTTTTTTTTTTTTTTTTTTTTTTTTTGCAAATTCCGAGCTTAATTTGTCTCCATTTAAGGGTCAAGATAACCTCCAAAACCTTTCCTGATCAATTTTTATAGTTACAAAAATGACTAGCTAATCAAGATATTTTTCGACACACATAACGGGGCATTTACTTTTTTTTTTTTTTTTTTTTGCCAATTCTGCTTAATTTGAATCCATAAAGGGTCAAAATATCTCCCAAAACTTTACCCGGACAATTTTTGTCACGAGAATCAATAAAAAATTGATATTTTATTTACGGATTTTTCACCAAATACCATTGAGTTTTAACATAATTCACCAAATACCACCAACATTTTTCAAATTCACCATATAACATTCAGTTTTATAAAAATGTCACAATATGCCATTTGAGTCAACTCCGTCAGTCATTAACGTTAATTGTGCCATGTGGCACTTTGTAATGGGTTCTTATTAATATTATTTATTTGATTAATTAATTTAGAAAAAATATTTTTAAAATTAAAAAAATTAAAACACCACCAGTGCAAGCCACCGCCGCCCCCGTCTGCGACGATTCCGACCCCAATCACTTTCTGGCTGGCTGACGACCATCCCCCTCCCCTGACGGCGACAACCTTGACCCTAACCACCACCTTAGTCGAAATCCCCAACCATCACCTTCACCGAATTCAAGCACTTTGCAGCTTTCCACCTTTGCCAGAAACCAACCCACCACCCTGAAACCCTTTTGCCGGAAGCCAAACCCTCTCCCACATGTCGCCGCTGCCCAACTTCACGAAAACCACCACCATGAAACCCTAAAACAGCAAAATCAAAACCCTAGATTTTGGTTTTAGGGTTTCGGCGTATATGGTGGTTCATTCGGGTAGAGATGTGGGACTTGACCGAGGCGAATTCGTTCGCCGACACAGGGGAGGGAGGTTTGGCCATTGGATGGTGGTTAGGGATGGTTTTTCGAGGGGGGTTGGGGGTTTTTCGAGTGATGAGGGTACGGTACTTAGTGTTTTTCGAGAGAGATGCGGGCACGGTGATTCAAGGGAAGGGGAGGAGCGCCAGCGAGGGGTTGTGGTCGGGATTCTGCGTCGGTTCTGGTCGGATTTCGTGCTGGCGGGAGGTCGGGGTGTCGAGATAGGGTGGTGGTTGGCTGGGGGACATTGGTGGTGGGTGGAATTTTTTTTTTTGTGATAATTAATTAAATAAATTATATTAAAATTAAGTAATTTAGAAGGACCAATTACAAGATGCCACGTGGCATTATTAGCCTTGATGACTAACGGTGTTAACGTCCGTTAGTCATTAAAGGCATATTGTGACATTTTTATAAAACTGAATGTTATATGGTGAATTTGAAAAATGTTGGTGGTATTTGGTGAATTATGTTAAAACTCAATAGTATTTGGTGAAAAATCCGTTTTATTTATAATACCTTAATATTTTATGATTTTATATAATATAATTATTTTAAAAAAATATATAGTTTATTTTTATTATTTAAATAACTTTCCTAATCTCATATGTTTATTTTAGAGTTCGGAAAGATTTAAAACTCTATTTTGTTTATATAGAACTCTACAATCATAAGCTAGTTTAAAGTTTTAAACCCTATTAATATTCTAAAACCTTAAAAATATAATACTTTATATAAAAAAAAAAGAGTCGTGGTATTCCTTTGGCCGTGCGTGAAACGAACCAAACTAAGATTTTTTTTTTCCTTTTGTTTTTCTCATCATCATATCTAAGGTGTAATAATATGATGATGACTTACATCATTACATGGTGAGAAGCATATTGCAACATCACCTGATATATTTTTTGCCTTGAATATTGTGAGAAGCTGCGCATATTGCAACGTCACCTGATATATTTTTTGCCTTGAATATTGTCATTCCATTGTACATTGTGGAAGGTAATCGCAGGTATATAGAGTTGTTTGTATAATTGATTTATATTATTATTAAGTGATTTATTGTTCATATGCTTTAATTTAGATGTTTAATTAATGTATATAATTTTATGATTTGATCGGATTTAATGTCTTGTTATTATTGTTGTATTGATGGATTGTTCTATTTTTTTGGGATTTTTAATGTTGTTGTTATAGAGAGTATTGTTTTATCGAAGATTTAGGGTTGTTAATGCAGAGTATTATTTTTTGGGTTGAGATTTGATTATATTTGGGTTATTAGTTTTTTTTTTTTTTAAGAGTTGAGATATTACAAATCGAATTGTTATACTATTTGGGAACATGTGCCAATATTGAGAATTTATTATCATGTGAAAGATTATTTGATCGATGTATGAAATCAAAAGGTTGAGATTATTATTTTGTTATTGGTTTGAGGCTCGGCGTTATACACCTTAGTCCTTGGCATGTTGATAATGAGATAGTGATCATGAATTAAGTATGTTTCCGCAATTTTATTTAAAGGTTGTTTATTTTTTTTTCTTTAATTCTTATTTATTTTTAGTTTGTAAATCGGGGGTGTTACAATATTAATTTAAATAAATGATTAAAATTAACCAATCATATCGTGATATGTGTCATGATTAAACCTTAATGACTAACGGACTTAACGGTCGTTAGTCATTAATGGCACTTGGTGGATTTTGTAAAAGCTCGGTGGCACTTGGCAAATGTTGAAAACCTTGATGGCATTTGATGAATTATTAAAGTGTTCGGTAGCATTTGGTGAAATAGCCGAATGTACTATTTTCATTCCCCGACTTGTCGTCCCACAACTTCCATTCACCATCGGCGACATCCTTTTCCCTCTACTGATCGGTAAATGGATAGGAATAGGAATCGTTGAATTGTGCTAACAAACAATAACAAAGGGGATTATTAATGCACTTTTAGGCTATGGTTAGTCACAAATAACAGATTTGTTTTCTTCGATCGAAGCATTAGGCAACCCGGTTCTGCTTGACTAAGGGTCTGTTCTCATACGTTTATTTTCAGTTTAGTTTAGTTCATTTCAGTTCAACTCCTAATTTCCTTCTCTTATAAAATATTCATTTCAGCTCAGTTTAATTCAGTTTAGTTGATTTCAGTCTATTAGAACAGACCCTAAGCCCCGTGCGTAGGCCGTTTTCAGTAGAGGGAAAGAGGGAGGGGTAGAGTAACGAGAATGGGCAGCCAAACCATATGTTAGCAAATTTTCCTTTCGTTTTTTACTAGTAACTCATTTTTCTTTCTTTTTTTCCCTCCAATTTCTCTAATCGTATTTTCTCTCTTTGTTGGCATTGTTCTTCCCCAATTGAACACAACAACCAGTTGGATCTCTTCACCAATATTCAAATTTGCTTCACTGAACTTCAATTGACCCAAAATTGAAGCAGGTAATTCTAATGATTCCCTCTTTTTTATTCAAGATTTCTGATTCGTTATTATTCTTGTTGAATTAGGGTTTATAATTGCAGTTTTTTTCGTTCCAATTATGTACTAATTGTGGATACAATTGTTCATTTAGCATGTTTTTAGCTCTAATTTTGAAGAACCAAAAGTGTCCCCATTTACAGTTTTGAAGAGGGTTATTTGTATTATTGTTCCGAAAAATCCAGTTTTAGAATTGAGAAAGCCAATTTTTATCGGTTTATGCAATCTTGAGTAAAGATTAGTCCATCCAATAGCTAAATTGAGGCAATGCTTCATTTGTGGGACACTGAGATTCAATGTTGTTATCTGTTCATAAAAACACTGTTATTAAAAATGCTTGCTCTTTGAATTGCCAATATTGGGAATATTTGAGTTAGAACTTAGTATTAGTACAATTAACACCAAAATAATGTGCATTAGTAATCATGAAAAACCGTATTTAAATAAGGAATTAAATAGTTGTTATAGGGCTGCAGAATTTGAGGATGGACTGGTTCAGCTCGGTTTTAACTTTGAATGGGAAGAATTCCTAGTTTTTTTGAATGAAAAAATTGAAGAAAAAAAAGGGTATTTGACAGTGTTTCATTTGACAAAAAAAGAAGAAAAAAGAAAAGGTTTTTTTTTGCCAATTAAATTGTATAAGGTGGTTACTTACGAAGTTGGACTTTTATGAGGTGCTTTTTAACAAATTCTTTCTAAAAATGAATTAATTTTAGGTAAAATTTCAAGAAATTTGTATCATTATCATAATGTACAATTTGTCCATGTCCAAGTTGTTAAACCATTGTATCATATTATGTTTTTTACTATTCCCTAGCAAGCTAGAATTGATTCCTATTATGCTAACTCTTATCTTTATAGTGTGATAAAATGTCATTGTATAATTTCTTTATATGGTTCAAGTCAAGTAAGTAAAGTCGTGTTAGTTTTGGGTATAAAAATCTCAACACTATCTTTAGGATGAAGAAGGGTGATTTTGTGGAATAATGATGGAGTAATGGGTGGTGATGGTGATTTGGAGGGAGGTACCATGGTTATGTTTATATGGCTTTTTGCCCAAGATAATATGCAGTCAAAAGACTTTGTGAAAGACCATGTTTTATTTATTCTTTTTCATTTAAAAACAAAGGTATCTAAATAAGGAGATATGTTGCACCCTGGTTCATGAATCTACATTGAATATGCCCCTATAACACACAGTTCACACATTGGTTAGTGAAGAGTTGTACACTTGTACATACCTTAATGCATCCAACGTGTATGGTATAACTGTTCCATGGGAGAAGTGGAGCTTGCTTGGCCTCCTCTGATAGTAAGTTTTTTAGTATCTATTGATCCAACCCACTCACAACCCATAAAATGCTTGGGATTTTGGGAAATGTGAAAATGAATGACAAGTTTTTTAGTTGGCTAAGATTGGCTTGGTTGTACGACATAACACTTATTACGATTGTATAGAATATATATAATATGGATTCTTTTAAAACAGTTGTAAGTCACTGCCTCTTCTCCCTAGCTTCAAACTTAACTAGCAAGTTAACAAGTGTTACCATGTCTTTTTTGTGTACTAATATCTGTTCCTGCCTGTCGTTGACCCAAATCCTCATATTCTCCTCTTTTCTTCTCACTTCTATCCCTCTTTTCTTACTTTTCTCACTTTATCTCATGTGAGAGTCAGCCTTAAGGTGAAAAGGGTGAGAAGAATTAATATTAAGCAAGCTCCTCTCATTTTTTTTTTTCTGAAACATGTTTAAATTTTCATTCCTTTTTTTAATTTTTTATTTGGCTTCAGCTTTCAATTCATATGCTCAAAGATGCTCTTATCCCCAAGCTTTGGATTCTATTGTTTGAAGCTGGTTTCTAAATTCAATTGTATAAATAAGAGAGAACTACTTAATTGAATTATTGTAGTGTTAAGGTTATCAAATTTCCAGTGTGCTGATTAATTTTGCATACTTATTATGTTTTGATCCATAGCTTTTGGTAAATGATGCTCAATTTAGTTTCTTTAACAGTGTGCTCCATAGCCTTTAGTCCTAATTTTCTGTATATGCAATGTAGTTTTAATGTATTTAAAATATATTTTTGATGTATCCATAATACATTTGGCTTCTCATGTTAACTATGCTTCTTACTGAATCTCAACCCTTATATACTATATAGGGCTTTGTGCTGAGTAATTCGGTTTTACCTTGGGACCTATTTCTACCATAAAAATTTATATGCAAGGGTTTTTGGGGTTTCAGGAAACAAGACATTCTGAAATAATCTTCAGGTTCGATGGGGTCTCGTTTGCAAATTGAAGGCGATGAGTCAGTCCTTTGTCGTGTAACACATTCGAATCTCAAAAGCTTCAATGCTGATGTTCGCTTTTCACTTCAGGTTCGTGAGTTGGTTTTCATTTAATTACTATGTCTAGTAATTTGGAAAATCCCAATTCAAATAAAATTAATGTGATATATGTGGTCAGATGACTGTTGAAGCCATGAAAGAGAAGCTGTGGAAAAAATGTGGTACCACTGTAGAGTCAATGTCCCTTGAGCTTTATGATGATGCAGGAGCTAAAATTGCTGATCTCACTGATAATGCAAGATCCTTTGGGTTCTATTCTCCAATGGATGGGTAAGATAGCTACCCGTAATTTTCTCTTTTGCATTTGTTGTTGACTTAATTCTGTGCAATATTTTCAATTGATATTGTGTCTGGTATCTAAATTAGATGAACTTCATTTTAATGCTTTTCTTTTTCTTCTCTCTCAATGGGTCACAAAAGATATCGGCTGCATGTTTTAGATCTTGACCCAGCATCAGTAACTTCTGGTGGCTGGCTGGAAGACACATCTTTGGTGGAGAAATACAAAATTTCCGATGAAGCCTATAAACAACGTGATGGCAAGTATCTTAAAATCTACTTTAGAATCCATATTTTTGTAGTATCTTGAATACATTTTAGTGTTTCTATCTTTTTTTCTTGGGGTTTATTTTATTTTTTTTCTTAGCTTATTTTTTAATGTATGATCATTGATGCAATTTTTTTTTAGACTATCTTTAATCTTGTGCATATTCTTTACTCCGAATGTTCTCTGCCAAGCAATTATAGGAAATCATTCTGGACTTCTTTTCTCCTATCATTCTTAATTTGAATGTTTTGATATTGTAGGTACTTTTAGAAAATTCAAGGAAAAGTTAGAACTTAAAAGCCCTTCAGGTGCCAGTACTAAGGTAAGCCTTGAAGATATTGCTATGCATATGGGATCTTTGTGATATTGCTCATCTTGTATGTTTTGAATCTGTACATGTAAATGTATCTTATTCATCTAACTTTGATTACTACTGGTGAAGTGTGTAACTCTCAAATTGGTCTGAATGTGATTACAACACCTCCATTTTTTTCTTGACAATTTTTGCTCTTTCTCTTATGCAGTTACCTGAAAATTACATGGAAGATCTTTGTGCTAATATCAAGGAGGTTAGTTATTTTCTGTTCTTAGCAATTAGCACTTTCAGTCCATCTCTGTTTGATTTGTGGAGCTGTATGTCACGTGACATGTAGCTGCACTTTATACTGGGATGTTATCGTATGATGTAATGAGATGATTCTTTACTCATGTTTGGCGTACAATCAAATGCTCAGAGGCTAAAGAAGAGCATACCAGCCCTCAAGCCAGTGGCTTACCAGATTGCTTTTTCTGACCTCCTTGGTCAAAAGATATTGAAACTGAGAATCTAGATCACTAGTAATGATTTTGTCATACTTACTATAACAACCACTTGGTATTTGACATTCTTAGAGTTTTCAGTTAACATTCTCCATTTACTACATTCTTCTTCTTCTTTTTTTTTTTTTTTTTGTTGGGGGGGGGGGGGGTGTGGTGGAAACTAGAATGTATAGGGGGTGTTGTCACTTATCTTTTTTGTAGCCCTGTTCTATTCTCAATGTTGAAAAGCCCAGTGCAACTGTGCAACATAACTTATAACTAACAGGCATTCTGAAATAGTTGTGCTGCATCTTTAAATTAGTGAAAGAAATGTGCATTCTCTTACCATTATATCAATAGGATATCAAGAGATACCTTAATATTCCCCTTTTCACTTTCTAATGTTCAAACTTTTAAATTATATTGGGAGCTTGACTGGATTGATGTAGTATGTTATATCGTTATGCTTTGCTGGTTTTTCGTTTGGATGATATATTGGTTCTCTCAGTTTTAGCTCTTGTAACAACATAATCGGTTTCAATTTTCAATATTGCTTGTACTTGTAACTATATGATTGGATTCAATATACCATTCCGTTTTTTTTCCTAACTGCTTTCAGGAATCCCTATACCTTGTGTAGGATTGTTGATGCTATTATTGAACCTTCCATTTAGTTATGTGTTATGGTCATTTGTCAACTTTCGCTAAGGATGTCTTATGCTTCACTTTCTCATGTAGCCTATGACCAATTTTATATTATGTGCTGAGTACTTGAGTTTCATTCACTTTACAAAATCCCATCCCTGAAACTGCTCTCCTCATGTTTTTGTGTTATTAAAAGGGCCCTATGCAGTATACTCTATCACTGCTGGTATTATTTCATGCTTGAATGCATGAAAACAGCTTTTTATATGCTAGCCTAGATGGTTTATAGCTCCATTTCCTGTCTTTCAGTGTAATTTTTTTTGTTTATATGTCTTTTTGGTTGACTGGCTGGCTGAAAGCAATATGTTATTATGCCTACCTATAACTTCTTACTTTTTCTTTCAGGTGGGAGATAGATGTCAAGTTCAACCAGGAGACAAACGTGGTATTGTGAAATATGTCGGCCAAGCAGAAAATCTAGGCCCTGGTTTCTGGGTTGGAGTTCAGTATGATGAACCACTGGGGAAGCATGATGGATTGTAAGTAAATCAAATCCCTCAGCTATTATTCACGTAGCAACTTTCTGATGGTCAATTCATAACCCTTGTAGTAACCATGTGTTTCTTTTGTTAGAAACTTTCACTTGAAGATGACTAGTAATTCTTGCAGCAAATCGTAATTCATTGTATGTTAGGATTGTTCATTTCAGCTTTTCATGTTGCAGGGTTAAAGGGACTCGCTACTTTGAATGTCCACCACTTCACGGTGCTATGGTTAGACCAGATAAAGTACAGGTTTGTTTTTTACTAATCCAGCAATATTTTCTGTCACTTATTGGAAAGAACCATTAAAGTCCTACTCATCTACCATGATAATAAGCTGATAAATTAGTTGGTAATTAGAAGTTTCATTTGGATTACTTGATTCATTGAGATAGATTTGTCAGCTGTCCTATACTCCCATCCCTTTGCTAGCATACTCAGTTATGCTAGATTGTTAGTATGTACAAGACATTCAATTATTCAATTTGCCATGCCTATATATACAGTTTCATACTTTCATGTCTTTCTATAAGTCCTGTTCATCTTTCATGAACTCAACCTCTTTTATGCCTCAATAGCTTACTGGGAATGCTGGTTATATTTAGTTTTTGCTTTTCAAAAAATGAGTTTGTTGCTGTGAATCTATCATGGGTATTGGGTGCCAAGGAGATTATTTTTTTTGGAGTTTGAGTAGCTCTTTTCTATTGCCTCTTCAAGTACTTTCATCCGTGTCCACTTTAGTTTGATAAATCTAAGCTTTCTGACTGATACTGCCAGTTGGATATTTGCTGGCACCCCAACAATATCAAAACGTTACATTATATGTTCTGAATGTTCATTTTCCAGGTGGGAGACTTTCCTGAACGTGATCCATTTGAAGAAGAGGAGATATAGGAACAGGCCCAAACAGCTGATATAACATCTAAATACTCTTATTTGTCTAGTATTTTTGCCGATGTTCTTCAATTGAGATAAGTACATTGCTGACCTGCTAGTCTGCTACTGGAACGGAACTTTACTGGCCTTTTTGCAAGAAAATAGACAAAGATAAAAGATTTCTATCCTTTATTCATTTTTTTGTGTGTTCCAAAATTGTGGATATATATATTCCAGTATTTGTCTTGTCACCAGAATTCTACAGCAATTGACTTGAAGATTTGCGTACACCAAACTGTACCTTTTTTTTTGTCCCTAATTTGAAGCACATTTTGTAGTGATTGTACAATGTTCTTATTAGTCATATATTTGTAATGTGCTTTGGTCTAGCCTCGGCATAACTTTCAACAATCAACAGTATTTAGTCACTGCTGCTATTGCCCGAATTCTGTTAGAAAATCTCAGATTTGCGTATATCAACAGTATATTAGCCTTGAATAGCCCTTGATTCTGAGATTTTCTAATGTCCATAACAAAACTCCTTCGGAAAAAAGTTTTATCTAAGTAAAAGCTTGCTTATTTGTTGAAGTTTGTTTATGATTAGGATTCAATTAATGAACGATTCTCGACGAGTTGTTCAAGGACACATAACCTATTAAATGAACTGAGACTAAACAAATATCTACGTTTAGTTGAAAGCTTTGGTTCGTGTTGGAGCTAGCAATCTATCATAAGTTTTATGAACATGAACTTGTAAGTTACAAGTTCATGTTCATAAAACTTATGCTAGTTGTAACATAGTATAATAATTTGCATGAGATATCTACCAAGTATTATAATAAATAATATTACCATTTTTAGAGCTGGTAAAAGTTGACATGATATGAATTAAACACGAAAAAAGCGGGCTAATGTTAAGAATTTACCATGTAATTAAACTGGTCATATGACACATTTAATAAAATCAGAAGATTCAATAAAAGTAACACTACATGACACATTTAGAATTAGTGTTAGGATTACTCAATCTATTTATCTTTGACACGAATACAAAAATAATCTGACACGACACGCTTTTCAGCCTTATAACTAGTGCAGTCACCACAATAACCAGGTTTTGTGTTAGTTCGCAATTTAGCATCTCAAAGTCTCGCTCAAACTCATTGTTTCATGTAGGCGATTCAATCAAATGTCATAAGGCATTAAGCCCCACACACCTCCTTACTCTTTTCAAAGTTGTCACCGATAGGCAAGACCGCCACCTCAAAATCAAGTACCACCCATATTTCTTTGTACCCACAACCTCATCTTTCGTCACCGCATTGATGTCTAAACACTCGCATCATATGTCATTCGAGACCGCATCTTGGTACCAGGTCAGCCCAAGCCCATATCCTACCTCTCCAACTTTCCTTCTCTTGAAAAATGAAGATATTGCCAAGCTCCTATGATAACTGGTAATGGCAATTTCAGGGCATTACCAATATTGTCACCCCTTCTTAAACCCCACTTCATCTTCTTGCTTTCTCTCTCCTAAACTTCACACCAATTTCCCTCCTTTCTTCCTCAATCCTCTCAACTTCAAACTTCACTGTTCTCAGAACAATACAATCCAACTAGAAACCCAGAAATCCCAACCTCTTAATACTTACAAGAAGAAAAGGAAGCCAAAACCAAGCTTTTCTGATCAAATTCGTGATAAATGGTCTGTCAAACCTGTTTCTCATACCCAGAAATTTCCATGGCAGATTCAGCAACAACAAGATGAAGAAGATGAGGAAGAGGAGGAAGAAGAAGAAGAAGAAGAAGAAGAACACCCACCTTCAACTTCGTCGTCAGAATTTGTGGGAAATCATAAGGAGGTAGAATCGATTTCTGGGGTTGCTCAAACTCCTAAATTTGATGTTAATGTGGATAGTAGAAGAAAAATTGAAGAACCCATTTCTGATTTCAGTAGAAAATTTGATAAAAAGTTGAGTAATAAAGTTAGTAATCATGTTAATATTGAATTGACTAATGTTTCGATTTCATCTTCAATTGCTGAGAAAAAGGGATTGAGAAAAACTGAGCTATTTAGTGGGAATTCAGTGAATAATTTAGCTCCTGAGAAAGTGGTTGAAATTAAGGAAAATGTTGAGAAAATTGCTGCAACTGTTAGATTGCAGAAAGATAATAGTAGTAAAGTAACATTGTCTAGAAGCAACTATGTTGATGTTAATGGTGGCGATTTTCGGAAAGTTAAGGCTGTTAGTGAGAATGATGTTAAAGAGAGAAGGTTAGATAGGTTGCCATGGGTACCTGACCCTGAGAAAGCTGATGAAGATAGGCGGTCGAAGAGCAAGACCTGGTTAGCCGAGAAATCGATTCCGGATTATGAACTTAGTAGATTGAGGAATGTAGCATTGAGGATGAAAGAGAGGATAAAAGTTGGGGCAGCAGGTGTTACACAAGCCTTGGTGGATGCCATTCATGACAAATGGAAGATTGATGAAGTTGTGAAACTCAAATTCGAAGGGCAGTCCACGGTTAATATGAAAAGGATGCATGAGGTCCTTGAGGTCAGATTGCTTTTCTATATATTTGTTCTTGATTCCTGTATTTTCATTCATTATTATGCATTATTTATGCATAGGATAGCTGCTTGTAGTTTTTCATTATATTTATGCTTATAATAAATGTTTTCATAATTTCATTGTTAAGTTTTATACTCATGCTTCAGATTTGAATGTGTGATGTAGTTGGTTTAGGCTTTTCGAGTATTTGAGTATGTAAATTTAAGATATGTTTTCATATTATTTGCTAGAGTAAAACAGGAGGCTTGGTGATATGGAGATCAGGTTGTTCTGTGGTGCTATTTAGGGGATTGACCTACAAACTAGACTGTGTACAAACATATAAGGAAGTGAAAAAAGTAGATTTAGATGTTTCAAATCATCCAGAAAAACCCGTTCCTGATTCTGCAAGAATTCAAAGGAAACTGTCTGAAGAAGAGTCGATGGAGATAAGTGAGCTTAACAATCTGTTGGATGAGTTGGGTCCACGGTTTGTTGACTGGTCTGGCCCTCCTCCATTGCCTGTTGATGCAGATTTGCTTCCAGCAGTAGTTCCTGGCTATAAAACTCCATTCAGACTTCTTCCTTATGGTGTACGGCCTTGTTTAAAAGATTCGCAAACAACTGAATACCGTAGGATTGCAAGGAACACCCATCCACATTTTGCTTTGGGTATGTCAGAAATGATTACAGTGTTCACAATATAGATTATAAAATCTTACTGACTCAAGTGATATTATTCAATTGATTGCGGTAGGGAGGAGCAGAGATCTCCAAGGTCTGGCTGCTGCTATGGTAAAGTTGTGGGAGAAAAGTGCTATAGCCAAAATTGCCATTAAACGTGGTGTCTTAAATACTTCCAATGAGAGAATGGCTTGGGAGCTGAAGGTAAGACTTATCTTGTTTGTTTGCTTGGCCAGAAAAGTTGAAACCTAATACTTGTATTAATTCCTATTGAATCTAAGATCATAGCTAGTTTGTCTTCACTTGTAATCTAATATGCATCACATATTGACAAAAATTCTATTTGACGTGTCAAATGAAAAGCTTTGATCTCTTTTCGTCAATAATGCAAGGGTCTATAATATACCATGTTTTCTTAGAGCACTTTCAACTTCCAATTGCAGAGACTGACTAGGGGGACATTACTCTCAAGAAATAAAGAGTACATTGTCTTTTATCGAGGAATTGACTTCTTGCCCCCAAATGTAACAAAATCGCTGAAGGAAAGGGATAGGCTGTCGATGCTTAATTATCAAGAAGAAGAAGAACGGCGGAATGCATTAGCTTTGGTTAACTCAAACTCTAAAAACTACAAGGTTCCTATGGTCGCGGGGACTCTTGCAGAGACTGTTGCTGCAACCTCTCGTTGGGGAAAGCAAGTAGTCGATGAAGATGTGGAGAATATGATAAAAGATTCAGCTCTGGCTAGACATGCTTCACTGGTTAATTATCATAAAAAGAAATTAGCTATTGTAGGTTTTTGTTACTTCATAAAGTATCTCACAACTCGATTTCAAAGATATAAATGAGCTGTTTAGCCCTCTCAAAAATGCTCTCTGATTCACCATTTCTCGTTCTTAATTGCTTGCAGGCAAATCAGAAGCTCAAGAAGGCTGAGAAGGCATTGGAAAAGGTGCAAGGATATCTAGAACCAGAAGAGCTCCCTACAGATTTAGAAACGATAACTGATGAGGAGAGATTAGTATTCCGTAAAATTGGCTTAAGCATGAAGCCTTTCTTGCTTGTGGGTAAGCATGTGAACTTTATTCTTAGGTATATATATGCATCCTAAAGAACTACTTACAAAAGCTGCTTCTTTTACAGGGAGGCGAGAAGTTTTTGATGGTACCATAGAGAACATACATCTGCACTGGAAATTCAGGGAGTTGGTGAAGGTAATTGTGAGGGGCAAAAATTTTGGACAAGTTAAACATCTTGCAATATCTTTGGAGGCAGAGAGTGGTGGTGTGCTTGTATCAATAGATAAAACTACTAGAGGCTATGCAATCATTCTATATCGAGGAAAGAACTATCAGCAACCTCTTCGGTTGAGGCCTAGGAATCTACTGACAAGAAGGCAAGCATTAGCTCGGTCAATCGAACTGCAAAGACGTGAGGTGAGCTCTGGTGATCTGTCTTTTATCATTTTGACATAATGAAAACATTCCTCTTACATTTGTCGTACTGACTCACACAGGGACTGAAGCATCATATATCGAGTTTACAGGAACAGATGGAGTTGCTCAAGTCTGAAATAGTATGCATTCTTATTTATACGTATTATATACATATATTTTATTGCACCTTTGAAATAAAGTTTTAAGGTTGACCCACTTTCTTATAAAATTTTGCAGGAAGATATGAAAAATGGAAAAGAGATTGATGATATGGCGTTTTATAAAAAATTGGACGATACTTCTATTCCTTCTGATGATGAGATGGAAGAGGTAAGACTAAGAGGAGTTTTGTATGCTTGTACAAAAATTATAGGATAGTTTGGTCACCTGTAGTGTGTTTTGGTAAGGGGGAATTTGGAGGGATGGGAAAGAGAGAGAGATTGAATGATGCATTTTCACTTTTACATAAAATGGGGAAGGTTAGAATATTTTCCTTTCCGTTTAATAAATTAAATCCATTTGAAACCTCGAAAGATTTAGAAGGATATAACTGCCCAACTCTCTCTGCCCTCCCTTCAATTCTCTATCCTGTCTTTCCCTTCCTTCAATGGTTGCTAAGAACACTAAACAAAGTACCATTAGTGTGGAAGGTAACAAGGCATTCAAGCACAATTTTGGCTCGGTAAAGACTAAGAGTTGAGTACTGACTTTCGGAATGGATGGGATATTGCCCAAGGGATCTTTAATGTCACTGAGTTCTTGCTGATTAATGATTCAATTTTCTTATTTCTAGGATGAAGATGAAGAGGCCTACTTGCAAACATATGACAGTGGAGATGAAGATGGTGCTTTCATAGATGCCGAGTCGTCTGAAGATGATGATTTAGATGCATAGAAGTTACCAGAGTATGTAACTTACCAATGTACTCTGTGTATAATATATTAATATCTAAGATATATACAAAAATTAACTGAAAGCAGTTCCATCCCTTTGGTATGACAATCATCATTCATTCATTTGTTAGCAACTGTGTGCGTCACAAGTTCACAAAATCAGGCCGAGTTTTAGAGAAGAATTTCCATAAATAGTTGTTAAAGCTATAAACAAAATTTCAAAGCTTTTTATGATTCTGTTAGTGAACTATTTTCAGTCTTACAAGCTAAAGCTATTGCTTGTGCAATTATAAGGAAACCGGTCTTTATCAAAGAAGTATGGCATGCTGGTACCAGCTACCAAGTGAACTATGTGCTTAAAATCGCGACGTAATAACCATGTTCTTGAAAATGCGTTGTTGGATTATACATTTATACAGCCATAACTCATCACTATTACAGCTTTTTTCCCTGGCTTCCGTGCATAGTTTACATTTATGGAAGCAAAGCAAGCCATTGTTAAATTGCCCCCGAAGTTATGACTTATGAGTGACAATACTACCACAGATGATTGATTCTACCTGATTTCATAATTTTAATTATCGAAAAATTTAATTTATTTATTCATAATGTATCTCTTAACACATATTGAATATGCTTGAATTTTAAAAGTCCTGCGCTTAATATCATCACAATCACTATTGCAAATTCAATTTTTGATAGGTAAGGTGGGCCATATCATGTGGGAACCTCTCATAGAGTCATAGGTCAACCCAATCCAGGGGTTAGCGGGTTAGGTCCTTTGGGAAGGGGGGAGGGTAGAAGGGTAAGGGAATCCCCACCTCAAAATACCGCTAGTGAAGTTTCCCACCTCTTGATTGTGAAATGACAAACCTTTCCATTAGACTAATCTTTGCTTGGTAGGTAATTGGTGCCGTTACAAAATCAATCGTCTTGATAGTTTACAATGTAAAATTGGCAGGTAGATGACAGTAGAATACAGATTGTTGGACCGAAATGTAGACTAGAGTGCATGTTGCAATCACTAAATACAGTGTGAGGAATCCTGAGATGTCTGCATTCTTAGGACCTTCTGTAAGGCCCTAGCAGAAAAGGATGCAATTAAACTTGAAACATTGAACAGGTTGAAGTAGTCAATCAGACAGAAAAATAGTCCACATAATGAACATCAATGGGACCTGTTATTACCATTTTGTTGAGCTAACAAAAGTCTTTGATTTGGGGCATCATTTTTAGAAAATAGTACATAGTAATCAATACTGGTAGAAATGAGGACAAAAACAAAGCAAAATTTCTTCCAATGCCACACAGAGCAGTTACTATCCGTCCTTCCACGAGTGAAACCCATGATTGTGGCATTCAAATATACATCAATCTATTGATTTAATGAAAACATGCCTCAGAGTCACGCACTCACTTCAACCTTTTCTTCTTCCTTCTTTCCATTTTTGCTCATTGTGTTAACACCTTGTTGCTCTGTCTTCTTTTGGGCGCGAATCAAAGCTCTTCTGGCACGGGGCCTTATTTCTTGCACTGAGGCATAATGTATGGCTCAAGGGGTTTATCAGCAAATGGGTGTTCATGGCCAGTAAATATTCTAAGTTTATGGTCTCTATCCTGCATCCATTAGAGTCAAAAGTAAGCAGGTTTTTCTAATTGATTACTTCACATATCAGCAAAATGGTTGATTAGCTGTACATACCAAATAGGCATCATGTCACAGAGAATATAACTACATTA